ATTATTCATTGAACAGCTGAAAGCAAACCAAGACTTTTGGTTTCTCAGCAACTGCAAAGGGCTTAGTGCTTGGAAAGCTGCACTCCAAGGGATTTACGCATTGTAGGGGGAAATCTTAACTTTCTCCTGACCTCTCACCACATTTCAGCAGAAATTCTTTAACTGGAGAGATGACAGAATGTGTCAGTGGAGCTTTCCTGAGAAGTTCGTGCTGTGGTTTTCTGTTTGTAGGGAGTCGGTTTCTTTTGGGGGTTTTATACTCCTGAGAAGAACACATAATGTTTAACTACCTGACTCAGCCTCACATTTCATGATAGCAGACCAGGACTAGTGAGATCCATCCCTGCCAATGGAGGATTATGTGTCTTTTCCAAATACCCACAAGCACAGGCATCTTTGTGAAGCAGCCTCCTGAAGAACTTGGACAGTGCCTGCACTACACTTTCTCCCAAAAGATTGCCAGAGGAGCTGGGAGCCAATGCTAGTTATTTTATTCCTCTTACCACTGTACAACAGAGAGCTCAGACTGCAGAAGAAATGAGCCAAGAAGTCTGTTTCTTTCCCAATAACTGAACAGGCCCACAGCCAGGCTTCAGGTGACAGCACTCAAAAGCTGCAGACAGAGAAGGGACACCACCATCCATCTGGTTAGGAATTCTGAGCAGCAAAAGATTTGTACTGAAAAGTGATGCAGTAACCGTGCCTCTTGCCCTTGCCACTCAGCAAAGCCTAAGCTCGGATGGAGCCTGGTGATAACTGAGCCTTCAAAAGTCAACAGCTTTTTGAGATAATTTAAGACACAGTGGTTAAGCGCCAGGGATTGTGAAATTGATAGAACTGCTGTTAAAAATTTGTGGTTGTTTTTTTTTTTCCCTAAACAAAGCAACTTGTTTTCTTCACTTGCTGTTACTTATGAAAACGCACAGAAATAAGTCAAGTCTGAGACTCACCAAACACCAAACACATGACATTTTGAAAAAGGTCAGTTTTGCAGCAAGAACAACATAAGATTACACCAAGTGTGCAACTACTTCTCCCACGCAGGAGAAGGCAGCAATGAGCCTGTTTTCACAAAAATACCGTTTTAAAAGTAGCACTTCTGTGGTGTAATTAAGTGCATATCATGAAGTGCCCAGTACCAACGGGAGCTCTGTTAATAGCTTCTGGAACAAGAATAGTTCTCACAATAGTGAGAAGTTCACTCTCACCTCCCACTATGACTTTTTCTCCGATGTCACATGGTCAATAACTTGCAGTCTTCTGGAAATGAAATATTTGCAAGTACTTTGCAAATTGCAGCTAATCAGAATCATTTTCCATGATGTCGCCAATCACTACAGGCAGCAGTGTTTCATTTTGACATCTGGGCATGAGGCATATCTGTGAGGCATTCACATATGCAGGTTAATAAATGGGAAGGAGGCTGATTTAAAGTACTCATGCTTTCATCAGTGTGCAGTAGCTGCCTGTCTCACCTGGTAGGTATGAATGCTGTTTTCTACTCAAGATCAATACAAACTTCCATGTTGACATCCACTTGCAGATCTGTCCAGATAACACCATGGAGAAAAGCTTCTAAAGGTCAGTTCAAGTTTTTAATAAGATTGCTAAGCATAAAACCATATGATTCTCATGATCTTTCACTAATCATTTCCTTCAAAATCAAAAACCTGGATCTCACAAGCCTGCAAGCAAGGAAAAAGCTTATTTGCACAACAACAAATAATATGACTGGTTTTTTTTCAAACACTAGAAGTATATTTTTCTATTGCCAGCTGCTTTTAAGGCAGTTCACTTCCCATCAAACTCTCAAATATTCACCTAAGTCAGCTTTCTTCCACATTTCTACCCCCTGAGTGATTGAATCTATGGAACTGTTGGACTTGGAGATGACGTAAGGACAAACTGCCAGCTGAAAACCTTTCAGTTAACTCTTCCAACTGCATCCAAATGTTCAAAGCTCGCTGAGTGGAGGAACAGTATTTGGGATTTTGCACAGAACCTGCATAATCATTTTGGTATTGTTTTGCAGCCAACATCCAAACAGAAATACTAGTTTAAGACTGGCAGCTTCAGCTGACAATACCTACATCTTTCTTGGTTAACCACAGGCACATGAAAGCATTACTGAACAGCTTTCTCCAGATATGGTCAAAATTATCCACATTCAATGAGGTCTCAACTGTACCTGCTCATGAGGTACAATACTTCACCTTAATAGATAGTACACCTGTCCTTTTCCAGTTTTTTCCCAGTATGTTCATTCTCCCCCATCTGGCATGCAGTGACACCGAGACATCACAGTTACGATGAAAAAGACTTATACAGAACACACTTCAAGCAGTTGGAAATGTTGCAACTTCAGAAGTCATCTATTGCAGCTTAACCCAGCAGGCAGCTCAGCACTACACAGGCGTTTGTTTGTTCACTCGCTTCTCCCCCTCCCCCTCCCACTCCCTCACTCCCCCCCAAGTGGGATCGGGGAGAGAATAAAAAAAAAAAACTTAGAATTCACAGGTCAAAATAAAACTATTTACGAACATTGAGAAAAGGAACAGGAAAAAAAATATGGCATACATATATATCTACATAATAAGTGATGCACAAAGCAATCAATCGCTCACAACCCACCAACTGGTGCCAAGCCTGTCAACAATAAGTTGGCAGCAGTTTTTATGTGCCTGCTGCTGACACTTCAGGGCAAACCCTGAGTGAACCAGGATGGCAGTGGAGGCTCAAGATGAAAGATAACATCAGAGGCTTCAAACCATGGGAAAAAAAAAAAAAAAAAAAAAAAAAAAAGAAAAAAGAAAAAGAGAAAAAGGCATCTGAGAAGCTCAGTGAAGCTGAGGGAGGAGATCTTTTGCTGTAGCTTTTGCTTGCAAGCAGTGTGCATATAAGGCTACAGAGCTGAAATAAGGCTAAAGGGTGAAGGCCTGGCTTATAAGCTGATGAGAACATCTCCTGAGAGCTTCTGACAAACACGGCATGTGGTTTCTGCTTTGGGTGAAGGACATTTGTATAAGCTTCATAGAATGTAGTGGTGAAACTGATGTCACTTCTGTAAATACACATTTTTTTATAATAATTCTGCTCTTCAGAGAACTTTCAAGAGGATGCCTTAGCGACTGTTACAGATGTTCTGAGGAACAACACTAGATGTTCATGAGAAAACCGGAAAACCTTCAAGCAATGCAGGCACTGGTTGTCAGCGCGCAGAAGGCAGCCCAACCTTTGCCCCCAGGCGGTTCAGATGAGCTTGCTATGTACTTTTCAATCCTTTCCAGGTACAGGAAATGGCACAGAAGCCCAAGAAGTGCTGGGCACCGTTCTGAAACAACACTGTATAGGCAGTACATCTCTTCAGCAGGGCGAGTGTGCAAAAGATAACTCCAGAAGTGACAGAGGGGAGAGACATGGAATGCGCTGCAGTACAGACGCTCCCTACAGGTGACAGCGAAATGCAGGAGCTGAAAGAGCTCCACTAGCAGCAGCATAGCTCCACGAAGCTCGGCTAAGCGCGCCGAGATGCGGGCGCGTCGGAAAGGAGCAAAGCACTTCTTTGCTGCTGACTCGGGATCAGAAGGGCCGCAGCGCCATCGTGCGGGCGCCGCGCCGGCTGGCCTACACGCATGCAGACGCACGTGCTCACCCACATACGCACTTCTTGTTTATAGCTCGACTTTTCTTCAGTCACAGCACAAGTCGAGCCCCAAGAAGCTCAGGTATTAGCATGCCTACTTAAAGCTGTCCTATCACAAAGAAGACTCCCCAAAATATTCGGCTCTCCTTTCATGGAAAGGAGCAAAAACCCAACAAGGAAAACCCACTGTTACAGCTGTTCCACGTGCAACATTTTTGCCCACAAGAGCTGGAAGAAAATATTGGAAACTACGACATTTTACATTTGGTGGGGAAAAGAACAATCAAATCAACAAAGAAATCATACCACAAGGAATTCAACGTGCTTCCTATCCTGCACTTACCTGGTAGATTTTTCTTGGTTTCAAAGCTTATTTGGTGATTTAATGACAAGCAATCAAGCCGTCATTCAAAGCAGCGTGATGGACCTTGAATCTCTCTGCAGGCAAGAGCAAGGTTGCCCAACGGGAGAAACAGTCCTGCTCGACAGGCATGTATTGATGGGTTCTAAAATTAACTTGAACTGTACAGAAGAACAAGATGGGGGCAAGATGAGCAGCTGGTTGAACTTGTGCTGAGCGTGGAACAAAGCAGACAAAACTCTGAGAAAGGCAAAGAAGCAATACGCTAAGTACGGCCCACTGTTTAAGACTGTGCCATGACTTTCACTTTGTGTATTTATTATGCCTCCAGCTATGACACTTGCATAAAATGCAGAAACGCTCACCTACCACCTAGCTAAGAGTCATCAGCGATGCACTCTTCTCAAGTCCTGAAAGAGCTCAACTCTAGCCCTGAAAAAGGTCAGTCTAGACAGATAACCAAACCACAGGTGGGAGAAAACAGAAGATCCGGACAGAAGGACAAAGGACCTCAAAGCATAAAACCACCTATGAAAACATTAAACAAGATTTCACGACAAATGCATTCATCTCTGCTTAGGAAGGAAAGCCAAATTTGAGAGACGGGCAGCTTATTCTCTGTTGTATTTGAATGAAGAGGTGAGAAAGAAGATGGCGCCTGTCTTCCACATTGAGGAACTGGCACTATCTTCTCTCCAAAGAAAATTCTTTAAAAAGATTCAAAAATCAAGCATTATCATGTGCTCATCCCATCCCTCTCCCACAAAGTTCTGCTAAGTACACCAGTCACCTGAAAAAAGCAATTCAGGCCATCCTGAACAAGTATGTTATTACTACTGCACAATGGGTAAATAACAAACACTTCTAAAGACACCATTCCTATACAGGGGAGGCAAAACAAACAAAAAACAAAAGAAGCAAAAAAAAAAAAAGAACTTCCCCTCTCCCCTCCACAACAACAACAACAAAAAAACCAACAAACCACCAAACACATAATTCAAGAAAACTGGTATTTATTTCAACTTCAGGAGTCAGTTTGAAACGTCAGAAAGACACTATACACCTATATATACTATACTATATACAAACCTAAGAGCACAACTAAGCAACTGTTAACGTTCAATAACAACCAGGTATAACAATAACAATATAATAGAACTAAGTCCTGACTAAGTGGAACAAACATGCTTCTTCAAGGTTATTTAGCATTTTTGGATCGTAGTCATCACTTGATGATTACATGGTCGCTTTCCTTCTTGTTCTGTTCCACAGAAACCTGAAGAAAATATTTCAAAAGTTACTCGTCTTTTTACACAAGACTGACAATGACCCATGCAAACATATTTCTTCCCGTAAATGGATCTCAGACTGGCATTTGCTTATTATCTTTTAATCAGAATTCTACAGGATACAGAGAATCTATAGGATACAGAGATTCTATAGGATACAGAGATTGTTTTAATGCAGCTTAATCAGAAGGAACAAATAAGACAAATGTACAAAATGCTGTTTATTTTAAAAAATACCCACACCCAAAGAAAACCTGAAGGCAGCATTCACTTTAAAATACTTATTTTCCAATGAGCATTCTAATGCACGTTTTGTGAAACATGGGGTGTTCAGAAAACATTTCTAGCCTAAATCCCTGTAGCTATGACTTGCCCAGCAATTCACTTCTCTGTTCAGTTCCATGCTCTCAGAAGTACAGTGAGAGAAAAAATTGTCTCATTTCCTTCATGCTCTAACAAAACCCATTTTGGTTTCTGCCCCCCCTCATCCATCAAATCAACAGAAAATTCAGTGGGATGTTACAGTGTGGGCAAGTGAACACTATCTTGAACAGAAAAAGGACTCTAACATAATTGAAGGATGCGGCTCCAACAGAGCAAGAACTCTCAGCACCATAGCTGCTGGCAGAGTCACAAAATTGCTTTCTGAAATGGTGCATCAAGTGCTGGCACTTCAGATCCTTGACAAGTTGGCTTAGGCAGGACAACGCAGTTTCAGCATACCTAAAGAGCTGTTTAAGTTGTGCTTTAGAAAAGCATAGCTGTAGTAGAGAAATCCCAACCCAACACACTGTAAGTAACTGTGATTCCAAATTGGAAGACGTCTCCATGATTGCTACATACCCTACATAGGCTGCTGTAAGCCAGCAGCCAAATACGGAGATCTTCACAGAATCACAGAATCACAGAAGCACCCGGGTTGGAAGGGACCTCAAGGATCATGTAGTTCCAACCCCCCTGCCTAGCAGGGCCACCAAATATTCACATTTAGATCAGGTTGCCCAGGACCCTGTCCAACCTGGACTTGAACACGTCCAAGGACAGGGCATCCACAACCTCCCTGGGCAGCCCGTTCCAGGGCCTAACCACTCTCCTTGAAAAGAAAGGAAATTTCTCTTCAAAGAGAAAATAAAATAAAACTGCAGGAAGACCAACAAGAATGACTAGGTCGAACAAAGAAATAGCTCAGCACTTTCAACCTCCTCCTGCAAATAGGTGAAATCTTCAAGTTTGTTGGACTCCTGAGTAGTTCATGTTGAGACAAGACTACAGCAATGCATTACATTGGACAGAATAGTAATGTGTAATCGCTCACCCAAGAAGCAGGTATATCTAGAGGGCAGGAAATGTCAGTTGAATACAGCTTCCTTTTGGATCTTTTTGGCTTCAACTCCTCCTTTCCAAGACTTTCTGGTTCAGGAGATTTTGGGGAGCTTACGGCTGCCATCAGCTTCTTGGCTAGAAGAAATTTGTTTTGATTCATAAACTAACCAACTTACGGATTTTGTGAGTCTTTATATCAACAAATGCCAAAAGCTTCATTATAAACTTGGTTTATAAGTGATACATCAAGTTTAAATTAAAATATTCAGAAATTGTATTGGTCCATCAAGGGTGTGAAAAACAAACATGACTCAGAAGTTGCTGGAAGTGAGGAACTTTGGCAGGAGCTAAACAACAGGCCTAACTTTTGTGCTGACAGAAGCACAAGGTGGAGTCAACTTCCTCTGCATACTTGCAGATTTTCATTCAAGTAGTAATGAATCTCAGAAGAGATGAATAAATGCATTTATTTCATAAGTTGAAGAGCAACGTAACATGGCAGACAAGTTCTCTAAGAATATATACATTCATAGCCTACAGCAGAAACAAGCCATTCTGCAGTGCCTACAGAAGGTGGAATAAATCTTACTTGTTCTACACCAACCTTTAGAGTGAATAATAGAAGGAGTACTTTGAAGAAAATCTCCAACTTTTTGTAGAGTTCCATCACTCCTGCTAGTCAATCTTCTACCGTAAGTACACACTCGCTTTCTTAGGAAGTACTCTTTTCTGGATTTCTGTTTAACAGACACGTGAACAAGAAATAAGAACATTGTTTAAGCTTTATTTTAGGTCCGTGTTATCTTAAGCCGACATTTTGAGCTTTGCTACTGACACCTCTGTTTATTATGCTAATGATATTACAACTGTAAGTAACGTAGACAATTTTATACCCTTTAGGGAGTTGTCAAAGCCTCAGCAATTCCAAGGCATAAGTTTCTTAACATTTGTTGAAGAAGCAGTAGTTTCTTTAAAAGTTAATCCCAAGCTGTGGAGATGTTTCTTACATAAGCTGTTCTAACTATAAAAAAATAAACAAAAATACAAAACGGTAGACAACAGATTGGGAAAAACCTACTCGTCACACTCTGACAATGCCAAGGATACTGCTAAGACATTAAAACATCTCTTTTTAGTAATTCCCATGCATATAAATCACACGAATCTCAGCTTAATACAAGGGCTTCACTTACAAAAGCGCATGATAATACGCTCAGACTTCTCCTCCCAACTATTCAGTCTGCGATATGCTTTCCACCAAATCATTCCACACTACAGCCCAGCCATTATACACTCTTGGGACAGACCGACTTGCTCTATGATAAGCTCATGGGATTTAATAGGAGGAGGTCATAAGAGTTTAAGATTCCCATTCAGCTACACAAATAAGGATAAGACGCTGCTGCATAAAAATGTTTACTCCCTTCAAATGGCCACACTATGACAGAAAGTCCCAAACTAGCTTCCAAACTAGAACAAAACCCAACCATTTTCTCGTCACTTGTAGAGGATGAATTACAAGCCATGGCAGACTTTGTGTTTTTCGAGTTCTCTCTTATCACAAAATCCTGGGAAAATAAGACAAGTTTTAGCCACAAGTCTTTTAGAAAGATTCACTTTTCATTAGGTGTATCACAAAAGCAAACACTTTCATCGCTATTGCATTCAGTAGTAGGGAGGTGTTTGCAAGTAGTAACAATTCCAATGTGAATCAAATACTAAACAAACTTTCAAGTGCACAAACGGGTTGGTAGCCTTATTAAGATATCAGTATTAGACATCCTGTGATGCGATGCCATCCCCATACAGAGTGCACTTTTTTCTCCCCAAGACTCATAAGAAGCAAAACTGCATGTCGACAAGTCAGAGGAGACACTCAGATATTTCAGACAAAAGAGAAAGCAAACGTATAAGAAGTCTAAAAAGCTGACTGATGTCTACGGATTTTCAAAGAAAATTCACAATGGAGTTGAGATAAATTCTTTCCCTTCTCTTAAATCATTATCACCCAGTTTGGCTATTAGTTTAGTTTCATTAAAGTTTCGACTCTCCACGCCAAGGTTCATCAATTAAATGCTTCAACCACATTCCTGAGATAGAAGGAGCGTTTTTTAAAGCTTAAATGAGGAATGGTAGAAAGGCATCAGATATTTCGTTTTCTGTTTGGTGTAGGTCATACCTCATCCATGTCATCACTTTTTCTCTTCTTTCTTGTCCTAGGCATTTTCATCCTTGCAGGTAACATGCTGTCGCGCTGCTTTATCTCCATCTTATCAGGTTGCAGAGGTGACAGTTGGATTTCCACCTCTGGTTTTGGGAACCGACTAGTTTTTCCATTTTCTGTGGATGCTTCAGAAGAGTGGAGGTCAGTTTCCAAATGCTCCTGATAGCACAGAGAAATTTGAAGTGCAAGTGTTAGGGAAGCCATGAGATTAAAAAACGATCATGCATCTGGAAAAGGATATGCGAACACGCAGTATCCCAGCTGTTAGCTTACAGAACCCTTCTAACAGAAGAAGAAGTCTCTTTCAGTTACAGCAGAGTTTAGCCCTTCTTTCCCAGAACCTGTTACAATTAAAATTATTGTTTCCAATCTAAGGTAACAGAAAAAGTTTTCCATGTTACATTGAGCCTGATGCTTTACAGGTCATTTTTCTCAAGGGCACAGACAACCATTCTCTTTCCACAATTAACTGACAGGATTTTCTTCATCTCAGCTCTGCTGCTGCAGAACTGGGCAGGAACAGAAGCTTTTGACTCAAGTGCCTTATTATCGTGCAGCTTAGTTTTAGGCAGTTTGCCCTTCCTCTTCTACACTAGAGTTGCAGAGATCCACCCAACCCTGTTTTTCTCGGCAGGAACAACAGAGTCAGAGCTGTGATCACCTGGACTCCTCCTTCTCTATGGCAGGAATTCAGCTAGTAGCTAGCACATCAAAAGCAAGTTCAGATGTTGAACAGAACATGGAAGGCGGGCTGCTGGGGACATCAGGAAATGGCAGATGGCTGCTACTACTGCCGTAAATACATAGAACTGCTACTTTGCGAAAGCTAGCAAAGTTAGAAATCCTGCAGGGGAAGAAAACAAGTTCAATTTGCTGTGCCCATTTCAGTGGCTCTGTAAATTGCTTTCCAGGTGACTCATTTAATCATGAGCCACGTCATAAGCATCAACGAGAGGAAAGTTTTCAACAGCAAATAAGAGGAATTCATCACACAATGCTTTCAACAGCTTTTATTCCTACCAAAGGCTATGAAAACAGATGATCTGATCACCTTGAAAGGGATAAACAAAGCTTGAGAATTGTGTAGAGAACTCGAGACCTTTTCCTACTCATTCTTTATCAAGATCAGTACAACTACCACATTTTCAGATTTGAAGTTGCATACTAACCTCAGATTCATTTAATGAAGGGACACTGCTAGGACGTCGAGTTGATGAATAATTCCCTTTAGCTTCACGTCTTCCTGGAATACTTTCTTCATCTCCGATTTTAGTTTTGCTTTCTTTTTTCATAGCCTGTGAACATTTAAAATCAGTGAAGATCAGGCTGTGCAGCACACCTCCAAAATACTTTGAGCTTTCTAAAGTTCCAGTGTAGAATCTCAAGCCCAGACACCACATGAACAAGTAAGTTGAAACACAGCACAAATCTGTGAAGGAAGTAACATCCATTCATCGTGTAATCTTCAGATTCACCCTACTGGGTCTCTCCAACAGCCTCATTCAGTACTCTACCTCCAAAAGAGACCAAGTCAGATGTTACTTAGGGACAAAATCTGTAATGCTGGTCGTCTTGTCATCCATTCAGCCCATACTCTCCGCACGCTCACAGCTGCTATGTTAGAATGCCAGAGACTAAACCTCTGCCTAATCTTGAGTGTCCACACATGAACACATGGAAAAGTTCCATTGCATATATACAGAGGTGGAGTTCCAGTAAATAAAATGCTTCTGAGAGGATGAGAGCACATGCCTGAGTGAAAGACAGAAAGAACCAACACTCATCACTGAATATGTAGTTAAAGGACTCTATGTTAAGAAAAGTGATTCTAACTCTTGGGAGATTTCCAGTATCTCTAGGAAAGCAGCAGAACAAAAAGGGGTGAACAAGACTTTGAGTACATATTTTCTATAAATATAATCATACCTTTTCATTTACAGGACGATCCATTCTACCTTGTCTTTCTTCAAGTAAAGGTACTTCTGACAAAGCCTGGGGGCTATTGTGGTTGATGCGTTGTTTTAATTCCTTTATAAAGTCATCTTTGTCAGCCAGTTCTTTTCTTAACTCTTCTATCACAGTTTCATTATCCTAATAAACACCGTACAAATTGCTGAGTTGCAGGATTGGCAAAAGGAGCTAACACACACAAGCAGCACTGCAGTTACTTAGTAGCAACCGTTTCAGAATTGCAGGCTAAGACAGTAAGCTAATCAAGAGCAATAACATTTCATGGTTTTGTTTGATCACTGCTACAAGTGCAGTAGTCACGTTATTGCCTGGGAAGATGTATTACAATATGTATTGAATTCTTTTCTTTTCTTCTACTCTTGTGCTTCAGCCTTTCTCTTAAGATACAAGAATAAAAAGAGTTTTTATTTGTTCACAAAGACCTCTGTACTGTGAGAATTGTCAGCAGTTGTAGGGGAAGTTTTGCTATGAGCACGGCTCTCATCCCACAGAAGGAGATATCCAAACATTCTCAAAAATCACAACTCATAGAGTCTTCTGTTTAGCTTCTGAAGTTCCATCTAAGCTACTGCTTAGATTGGCTGTCCTGATTTAAAGCTGGACAGTGAAATAAAAAAGGCAACTTCCAGAGATCATTCCCCCTCTGCCTTTGATGCTTCCCTGCATCTCTCTTCACATCTCCTTCCGTCTTTTCATGCCATTGTAGATACTAGCTCAGAGAAAACAAAGAAAGTAAGAAACCTGAGACAGAACTACTATCTGACCAAGTATTGAGCCTAGCTTGGGACCAAGAAACGCTGGGAATTATGGGAAAAAGTTACAGACGTCCAGACTAACCTTGGGATCAAAAGCATCAAACTGACGTCCGTTCATTTGAACTACTAAAAATTTTGAAACTCTAGCACTAACAGAAATCCTGTTTCTGAAGAACGGAAGTAAAATCTGGTGCTTTTTTGGTCAGCTGCACTGCACGCGATGTCAATACGACAGTGTTTAAGAACAGAACTACACCCAAAATACAGAGAGCAGGCATAGCGTTTTGCAGAATTTATGGGTAGCCAATCAGGCAGGAAGAAAAAAGAGCTGACCTTGCTTGAATCCTTTAAGGCCGATCGTTTCAGTTCTGCTATTTCTCTCTCTCTTTGCACGGCATTAGCAGCCAACGTTTTGAGCTGCACTTCCAAAGCTTCTACTAACTGATCTCTCTCTTCACGCCACTTTTGAAGATTGCTGTCCTTTTCCTCCAGCTGGGCAACAAGTATTGCCTAAACAAAGAAAAGATTAACGATGAACAGCACTAGCACACACTGAAGGGTTCTTACAGTTTGGTAGGTAGCACTGTTTTACAGTCTTAGTAAATGCATGATCTCTTCAAGATCCACGGGAGCTCTAGAACTATTGCACTACAAACTACAGAAGCAAAACCATGCTTCTATTAGACAATCTCTGTAACTCTCCTTGTGAAAAATTATCATTGGTATTATTTAAGAACCTCCACTTCGGTTTGCTCATTTAGTGATTACTAACAGTACCAGTCTCCTCACATCCTCTGTGCTGCTTGCAGGTCCAGAAAGTCAGAAAGACTAACTACTTCCGGATGCAAAAAAAGGTTTTGTGCACCATACAGATTCACATGTTTGAAAAGTTACATGACAACAGCTCAGTGAACAGCTCAAGCAACCACTTTGTTATCAGTCACTTCTTGGAAAGTGATAAGGGAGCAAAAAAAAGGAAGCAGATTGACCCAGCAGTTTTATTCAGTATCTGGAGAGAAGTTTGTGGGGTTCCTTTGGAAACTCCATTGCCTTTTTCTTCCTTATAAAGGCTTAGAGGCCTTCTGTGTTCCAGAAAAGAAAACAAACAAATCCTATTGTTCAAAATGTTTTCTTAGACTCATCAAGCAGTAATTTATTTTTCAACTGTAATTTTCTTATTTAAGTCCCACGTACGTTACATTTCATTACGTAGTTAGGAAAGCTTTGTCTTTTTGTGACCCTCCTTTTCCTCCCTTTTCCAAATCAAGCAATTCTCATACGGGCTTCATAAGAAAGCAAGGGGACTTGGACAAGCTACTCTTACGTTCCCATACTGTTAGTACTTGGCGTGAAGTTGTCTCCAAACTACAGACTCTGGATGACTCTGCCAAGACCTCGTCACTTACAATTTTTGCTTGTTGCTTTCCGTGCCGTTGTCGGCCCTCAACAAACTTCTTCATTTCTCTGTTGCGAAGATTCTCAGCTTCTTTTACCTGCTTCAGGAGTCCTTTTTTTTCCTTCAGCCACTTCTTTCTATCAGTTTGATACTTGGCCTCACTTGTCTATTTCAAAGGAACCAGAAATGAAATACTAAGTGATTAAGGAATAAAAGTCTTAAAAGCCAGGTCATCATTAAATAGACTTGTTTCTACAAGAAAATTAAAATTAGACCCTCAGCACAACAAAAAAGGCTTCCCGGCGATAAAGTTAGGTGCTGATTTGGATAGCTTATACAAATAGCCCAAGCAACTAATAGAAAAAAGCTTTGACAAAGAGTTATAATCTGCTTTGAGTTAATATTCCTAGCTGTACCTCGTCCTTATTGCACACTGCACTGCAGGTTGTAAAGGAAGATTTTTTCATCAGTGTAACAGTTTACTTTATCATGTTATAAGTAGTCTCCTAAGTTGAAGTTACAACTTTAAAGTGAAGTTACCTTCAGCTCTTTTTGCAGCTTTACTAATTCTGTATGGATTTCATTCACATTTGCCTCTTCCCTTTCCCTGTCCTTTTGCTGCCGGTCAATATTGCTCTGGTTCTGCAGTTCTCTGCATCTATGTTTCCACGTCTCCAGTTCTACTCAATACACAAAAAGAGGTTAGACACCTTATCGTTTCAAATGTGTATTTGAAACACCACATTAATGACTTTTTACTAAAGCCACTTAGGTTTTGCCTGCTGTAGAACAAAGAAATAACAGAAGCTTTTAACAAGTACAAATTTGTTGTTTACTATGGAACATTAATGCCCAAGCCAAATGAAAATGGAAGTGGCTATCACAATACATCTAAAGCACTTATGCATCACTGCTCCCTTTCCACTGAAAGATTACCTGAAGCTAATCTTTCATTCTCTTCTAATTGAGCTTCAAGCGCTTGATCTTGTTCAAGCTGAGCCTCTTCTTTTTCTTCTAATGTCATCTTCATAGCTTCA